ATATATACACAGCATAAAAATACCAGCTGGTCAACGACTGGCTAAAATCATTTTGTTTAGTTTTTTCTATAAATTTTTTTATTTATTTTCTCATAAGTTTTTGCAGCAAATTGCAAAAAATGAATGAATGATTTACAGATTAATTTAAAATTACCAATTGCGCATTTGCACTTTTTTTTCTTTAAGAATTATATATAGAATTATTAAAAAAATAAATATATTTTGTAAAAATCTTGTTTTATGTAACATAAGTAATTTTTAAATTAGTGTTTCATAAAACCATTGTATTCTTAGGATTAAATAGTACCTGCACATGATTAATATAAGAATCAATAGCAGTTTTTAAAATGATTTTAATGAGTAGAAATATGTACAATTATTTTTCTTCTTTAAAGTTTGATGCTCTTATTTTATTATCATTTTTTGAAATTGTTGTATGTAATGAAGAACATTTTCTATTCCAACTGTATTTTTTTGTTGTTGTTGTTATTATTTTTTTTCTTGTAGCTTTTACTACCATACAAATATATTATTTTAAAATATCATTGCGCATTTGCATTTTTTTTTTTTATGTTGTTTATATAACATGAGTAATTGTTATAGTAGCATTTCATATTATTAAGTATTGATTTTTTACATATATATGAGAAAAGCATGTTTTAAAAATTTCAGATCAATATCTAATATGGTTATGGTATGAAAATTTCAGATCAATATCAACATATAAAATCGGTAAAGCATTAAATAAACAGTGCTATCTTATTAAGAAACATAACTATCTTAAAGTTGGATTTTCAAAATTTTGTGAGCTAAGGCCCAAGTGGTGCATTCCTGTGGGTGGTGATTCTGGTTTTTAATTTTCAAATAATTTAATTTTTCAAATAATTTAATTTTCAAAACACGCTTTTTTCATATATATGTTCAAAAAATTTCAATAAAATCTGAGATGGTCCTTGAGGAACGAACCTTTGCTCCACTTAGCATGGAATGACCCTATTGAGTTATAAAATACTTTTATATTGAATTATATATTTTTTTATAAAATATTTTTAATATTTATAAAAATTGTTTTGATATTTTTAAAAAAATTTTCAACATTAAATTACTTAACTTTGATTAAAATTATAAATTTAAAAACATTTTTGATGAATTCGTTAATTTTCAAGCAATCTGTCATTTTTTGTATTTATAAAGTTCAGTAACCAAGAACTTTTACTGAGATAAAAATTATTATTAATAACTATTAGTAAAATAAAAACTTCTGAAAAAAAAATTAAAACATTCTAAATGTTTTTATTTTTATTAAAAAAATAAAAAATATTTCGGTCTATTAAGCATTTTTGTAGTTTTTTAAAGAATGATAAAATTTATTTAGTTTTCTCAATTTAACTTAATGGTTTTTACAAAAAGTGTAGTAATTTTAAAGACAATTTTTTCATCTGTTGTTGTTTTTTGTTAACTCTGAATCAATCTATTTTTATGTTTTTTAATAATTTAGCATTCTGAAACTTGTTAACATAACATACCATAGTTTTAGTAGAAATAATTATTAATAAATAAAAAAATGTCATTCTGGAACAGTCTACAGTGATGTAACTTTAGACTTATCATCAGCCAAGAACCAAGAGGCTGTATCTCCACTTTTTGTTATTCAGAATAATTCGATTTTCAAATTTTAGGGGACAAATACTGATAGTTGATTTTTTTGTAAAATATTTATATTTTCAAGTCTAATAGTAAATTAAGTTTCTTTTATTATAAGTAATAAAAATTTGTTTGAAAAGGTTGTTTTAATCTAAAAACATTGCAAACTGAACCTAATTGTGGACATACAGCCTGCTGGTTTGCATTTCTATAAACTTTAATTAACAGCATTTTTTCAGAAAGCGGTTTATATGATTACTCTCAGGTGATTAATAAAAGGAGGAGAGGAATATATAGGAATTTTAGTCTACCATGTTGGCCATAATGATAGAATATTGAAAAAAAAGTGACAATAACTAGCTTTTCCGGTTATCACGTGCCAAACACATGATCATCGAATGATATAATGATTAAACTCATTGTATAAATAGTAACAGCCAATTAAAACCATTGTTAAAGGTTCAAATTATCCTTTAATATTACTTTTCAGGTGTAAATTGTTTAGTTTGTCACTTAGTTAAAAATGGTTAAACGTTGTAATAATTCCAGTGAACGTGCTGCTCAAATCATTGCTTTATCAAGCGAAGGCATAAAACAAAGTGCAATTTCTGATAAATTGAACCTCAGTCAATCTTCTGTATCAAAAATGGTGAAAAGATATCATAAAACGGGTTTATTTTTCTATAGGAAGTCTCCTAAAACCCCACGCTGCACCTCAAAGTGAATGGACCAAATGATAAAAATGATGGTGGTTGACTCTCCCACATGCAGTTCTGCCGAAATCAAGTCAAGATTACCTCCTGATGTGTCAGTTAGTAGCAGGACCATCTGCCGTCGACTCCAGGTTGATTACAAACTCAGTGCTTACCATCCAGCTACTAAGCCTCATCTCTTACAAAAGAACATAAAAGACAGAGTCGCCTTTGCAAGAAAATACTAGGACTGGACTGCACATCAGTGGAGCCATGTGATTTTCACTAATAAATCCCTCATTAAACAGTTCTACGCATTCAGCAGACATGTTCGCCGTCCCATTGGAGAACAATATAACCAACGCTACACCACCCCTAAGGTCAAACAATCTCTGTCAGTGATGATCTGGGGTGGCATTACAGGAAGAGGAACATGTGGCCTCTACACCACCCCTAAGGTCAAACAATCACCACCCCTAAGGTCAACATGTGGCCTCTACACCACCCCTAAGGTCAAACAATCTCTGTCAGTGATGATCTGGGGTGGCATTACAGGAAGAGGAACATGTGGCCTCTGGTTCCGGCCACAAGGAAATACAATCAATACAAATGTCTACCTCTCAATCTTGAAAGAAAAGGTGCCATTCTTCATGGAGTTGCACAATTGTACACACTTCCAACAGGATGGAGCTTTGTGCCATACAGCACTGACTGTCAAGACTTGGATCAATGGTCAAGGCATCAGCTGCATCAACCCGTGGTCTGGGTCGATGCAGCTGATGCCTTGACCATTGATGACTCAAAGAAACTATAAAGAAAGTGTAGTGCACAGAGATCACTGCAGAATATTGTGCTCACCTTGTTCATTCAATACCTACGAGACACATTTTTAAACACCTGTTTTATTATAATTTAATAGAATTTAATATACTTACATAAGTTTTATACTATGGTGAGATAACTTTAAACAGCAAATAAACTCTATACAAGAATCATTAAAGTTTTTTTGAGAAGAAAAAAAAAATACAAACTTTTGTGAAAGTCGTTTGAAATAAATAACTTTGATCTTAATTTACGTTTTTATATTATTGAAACGCATTTAAATAAAGTAACAAACCACTGCTAATATTTTTTATAAAAACATTAATGAATAATAAATATTTTTTTATATTTATTTTTTATTATAAATATTTTTAAGCTATATCAATTTTTTAAAAATTACATCAATTTTTTAAATAAACAATTTAATTATTTTTTCTTTAGTGCGAAAAAAGTTAAGAATCTTTTTTTTTAACTTAAATGTGCGCGTTTATTAAACAATCGTCAATTGTAAATTGTTACTTTATTTAAAAAGCGTTTTGCATAATATTATATTATAAAAACATTAGTAAAGATAAACGATTCAAAGTTATCTATTCCAATTTTCAAATATTCAAATTTTGTAACTTAGATAATCTTATCGTTATAGTTTATTATTTATTTTAGTTGAGTTTTAATTTTATTTCTGCTATTTTAGTTTTAGTTTAAGTTATTTTAATTTGTTTTTCTTTTTTTTTTTACCAAGATTTATTTGCTTCTTTTACAATAATTTTTTTTTAAGTTTTCTTTACAGTTAAGATAATTTTTTACAGTGTTTTTAAAACGTATACAAATTTTCAAAACATATTAACAGCCGTGGATATGTTAAGTAAAATCAAATAATATTTGTGTGGTCATATTATGACGTGAAATCGCATGCCTTCCTGGCCAAGCCTGGTCTAAACTATTCATGATTTCATAATTTAGAGAATTCTATATTTATATTCGTACCATTTGATGAGACTTCATCAGTGGTTTCATGGTACGCTATTTTATTGATAACAAATAGAGTTTTAGCTGTTTAACAGTGCAAACTAAATCTTGGCTAATCTGAATATTCAAAGACATACTGCCAGTTGATAATAACAGTCTTTTTTTTTTTTGGACATACGACCTTCTGATTCTTTTAATATAACCCTAAGTTTTATGATTTTTGTGACCAAAATTACTCAAAACATAGATTTCATCATAGGGAACATTTTTTAGTAATAAACTGAAAAAAAAGTCAAAACTGGATATAATGCCTCTTGGTTCTCAGCTTGTGTAATGTCTGGTTTCCATTCAAGGAACTAAAATTATTATTGCCTGGTAATATTTCAATTTCTTAGCAATTTGTCTTTTCAATTTTTTAAAATTTAAAAACTAATTCCAAATTAATATTTTTTTACTTGTGGAATAAAGAAATATTCATATTTATAAGTAATCACACTTTTATATTATAACACTGCAATAATTATCTTTTAATAGTATGGTTATTATTTACAATATTAATAGTTACAGTTATTAATAACAATTTTTTTTCTTTTGTAGATTGAATACTATCAACTATTAACAAATAAGTCTTTTAGATATTTAATGAACTATTAAAATAAAATGATATTCTATTTTAATAGTCTATCATCTAAAATGTTTAATAGTCAATCCCCTTTGCCTGGTAAAAAAAAAATAAAGAAAAAAAAAGAAGAGGGAAACAAAAATTTCTCTTCCTCTTGCTACTTGTATTTCTTTTAATCATTAATATACAATAAAACATAATAAAAATAAAAAGATTGTTAAAATTGATACAGACAAAAAAAATTTTAATACCTTTTTTTAAATGCATTAATTGCAAATCAATTCCAAGGTCTGAAAGGTCTCTCCCTCTTTTTAAAGCTTGCTTTTTTAAATTTAAGTTATTAGAATGAGGATCGTCTGTGGTAGTAAATAAAAGAATAGTTTTTTTACCCAGTTTGTATGAACTGTTTGCAAACATACTTGAACAAGCCCTAAACATAAACATCTTATACATTCATTTTACATGGTTTAAAAACTAAGTGTACAAATCATTAAAAAATAATTCAACTATAAATCATTAAAAAAGTAACACATTTATTGTTGTTGCTTTTTTTTGTTTTTTTTTTTTATATATTTACAGTTTATCAAATAGGATTGATTGTTTGTTAAAGTTATGTGCAAATGCAATTTGTTCTGAGTTTGGTATGAGAAACAAAAAAAATCAAGTTATTAAAGTTAGAGGTAAGCAAATGGAAATAATTATGCAAATTGACAAAGCTAGATGCTAAAGAGTTTCAATAACTCTCTAGCATTAGAAAAGTATTGAAGTTTTGTTGAGTTAAAAGTCAAACCAATATTGATTTTTAAGATGGTAAAAATGGCTTGACTTTTAAGATGGTAAAACCAAAACTTAGATTTGTTTTATATTAATAACAACTTAGCTTAAAAGTAAAAAAACAAAACAATTAAAATAATTCCACAAACTGATTAAATCTAAATGTTTATAAAAATTTTGTGCACATTTAAGTATACATTTATGAACTAAAAAATTTAAAATAAGCCTAAATAATTAACTTTACAAAACTTTTTAAAATCTGAAATTGAGGAATACATAATTAATTTTTTTTTTTGTTAATAAAGTTCTTTATATCTATATAGCCCAAAAATGTTAAGCCCAACTCTCAGTCAATGTATGTATTAAATACCCTATAGATGCCTATTTCAGTCTGATATCATTATGATGATGACATCTCAGTTGATTGTAAGGAAGCCTTATCTGTGGAGGCTTTAGCTTATATGTTTTCAGTAATGTTTCACAAAGATAATTGTACAAGTGCATTAAATCCAGCGCTGGATTAAAAAAATTTCAGAACTCCATAGAATTGTGCTCCATTGAATTGTTTCAGAACTCATTGAATTGTACTATACTAGTAATTATTATTTTAATAAATAATTGCATTATTTATTAAAGTAATAATTTTAAAATAAAATATTTTAATTTTATTAAATTATATATGATAAAGAGCAATCATGTATATCTAGCAAAAAAAATTCAAAATTCTCAAGGAATCTTTAAATTTACTAATATAGTAATGCTACATGCTTCATAATTTTATAAACTAATACTTGTATAATGGAATTAAATTGATCAATTTGAGAGTTTACACAAATTTTGTTTGAAATCTCATTTTTGACAAATCTCAAAACAATACTTTTTAAACTTTTTAAAAATCCTCACATTTTTAATTTCTGCAGGTCTGCATACCTATTTTAACTCTGTAATAAATTTCCCTTTTTATTTTACATTTCTTTCAAAATATTGTCATAGAGGGCTTTTTTGCAAAGAGAAACTAAAAGTTTAATAGTTATTTCGGATAACATACCATAAAGCTTCTGATATTGAAAATGAATTTGAATGCCCTAAATGTTTAATAAACTCTTTAATTGGTTTTTCTGATAATAGATTTTCGACTTTTAAGATTTGATTAGCTTCAGGCATATCTAAACTTTGATATTCATAAATATTATCAAAATCACTTTCATTTTTTTTAACATTTGTTCCGAATAATACGACACCAATAAGGTCCTTTTCCCTTGATATTATCTTGCTTAGTAGTACACTATGAAGACACTTAAAACATGTTTGAAATAGTGTGGCTCCATCAATTGAATTTTCAACCATCGATTCAGTGGCATCAATAAGAAATATTACCGAATCTCTACCATGATTAAGTGAAGATACTGGATTACTATCCGAAAAACTCTCTTCGTCAGAATTTTCTTCAAAAAATCCACCTGAATCTCCCCAAAATGACATCGTCAATAACAATTTCTATTAAAACGCATTAGCGCTTATGTCTATTACACGCGCAACCGGTGCATAATTTTGAAACTGGGTTTCGAACTTAGTGCAATGATATATATTATCAACGATGGATATATATCGTTGGATTTCGAACTCTGATTTTGTTTAAAAGGGATCGTACGGGACTGAATAAACGCGAGTTTCATTAGTGCAAACTGGCATATGTGCGAATGGCGTAAGTGCGAAATGCGAATTGCCATAAGTGCGACCTGGCATAAGTGCAAAGCAGTTACAAAAATTGGCACATGTGCGAACTGGCATAAGTGCGAATTCGCCAAAAGAATTTGCCAACGTTCAAAATGGCATAAGTGCGAACTTATGCCAACCTCCTACATCTTTTTTTTTTAATTTATTTTGCGTTGCGTATTTTATGGACATTCCCAAATTTGAAAAGAACATTTTTTACGGGTTAAATATGTTAGATTTATTAAGTATGAATAATATGGGTCCATATTTGGCACACCGGAATGAAAATAATTGGAATGGAAAAAAAAAGTTCACCATAAAAAGTTTGCGTTTTCAAAACCACGATCCTTTGTTCGATTATAATCTAAATTTTGAAAATATTCTGTTGACGTTTTTCAAAAAAAACAGGGTTAAACGGACAGGTCATAGCTTTTTGGTGTTCAAGATAGATAACTTCCAGAGCTGGTTCAAGCTTTAAATTTTGTAATCTTGATACTGGTATCAAACTTTTAAAGGGATCCCAAACTCCCAACACATGTTGTGTTCATATTAAAGATAATGTTAAAAAAAAAGGTTCGAAGCAAATTTTTTTGATTAAAAGTAAATAATGAATGCATACCGTGAAAAACAAATGTTGTTGTTTTTGCCGAAGCTCGTCTTCTCCATTTTTTTCAACTACTCGGAGTCTTCAAATTATGCGTCGCAATCTACAGACTTTGGCAACTCCTTTGAAGCGCGTTTAATTCATAAAAGTTTTAGTATTTGACGTCACGGTAGACTTTTAACAAAAGAAAGCGTAATTAAACTAACGTTTTTCTACTGTAGTATTTTTTTAACATACAGCAAAACAAATTTATTTGTATTATTTTTCTAAACATCGCAAAAAAAATTTTGTAAAAAGTAAAAACAATAAATTATTTTTATTTTATAGGAGCAACTTATTTTTTACAGATATCTTAATAATTTTTAGATTTATATATATCTTACTTATATTTCTTTAATTATTTAAATTAAAATAAATATTAAAGCTTCACTTACCAATCTCATGATTTTCATACGAGTATTTTACATTATATAGAACGTTTTATATACGGTCTCTTGTTTTAGCGCAAGAGAGCGCAGTATTATATATTCTGATTCTTAATTATTTTTATTTAAACAATGGGAACTATTTTCTAATTTCTCTGGTTATTTTTACGCTATGACAATTTTTTGTTTTCCCGTTGAAAAAAAGTATTTATTAACAATTACTTTCATAAACTAACAGTATTAATTAGAGATATTTAATGAATTGTTAACTTTTTTTATTATAAAATTATCTTGATCACGCTGATTTAATTTAAATTGCTAAATTTGCTGAATTGGATACGGATAAAAAGGAAATACCATTTTATTTTACATTTGATTTTTGATAATGAAATTTTTAAAATGTCAGCAACTCCATACCAATTAGAACCTGTTAAGATAATGAAAAAAAATACAAGAATACACTAAACAATAGTTTAGTGTATTCTTGTACTTTTTTTTTTTACACTTGACAGTAGTATCAGATATGAAAATTCGTGAAAGGATATGTGAGATCCTGATTTTGCATTAAAAGTACAATTAATTGCAACACAAGTCGGCATTATAAATTTTGATTATGAGTTTACTGTTCAATATTTTATAACCATCAAATAAAAAACATGAAGTTTGTATTAGGGTTGTTCGCCGAAAAACAAAACTTGCAAAAATTTCGCATCTTTATCTACCGTAATAGAATTGTTATTGCGGAAGTTGCACATGCAAAAATGCACATTCCGTAACGCGCAATACGAAAATATAAATAAATAAAATTCCGTAATAAAGCATTGCGAAAGAAAATTTGCGAAACACATTTCGTAAGAATACTTACGAAATAGTTCCTTACGGAAGATGCATTCCGGAATGTGCAGTTACGAAAAAGACGCAAAAGATTTTATGTTACGATATATTTAAGATTTTAACTGTTAACAGTTTAAATAATAAATAATAAAATTATAAAAAAATGTTGTCAAATGATTCTTCAAATGTTTATACAAATATATCTAATATATATATATATATATATATATATATATATATATATATATATATATATATATATATATATATATATATATATATATATATATATATATATATATATATATATATATATATATATATATATAAATATATATATATATATATAAATATATACATATATATACAGTAAAATCCCGTTAAGTTGGACTCTCAATGAACAGATAAACAGTATGCCTTTCTTTTTAAAAAGTATAAAGAGGATGTGTGATAAACAATTTAATACTTTATTATAAAGAACGAGAGATCTCTCTAAAGGTAAATGATATCAGAAAGAGTAAAAAGAGAAGAAATATATGTGAAACAGCGGGATGTGAACCTGGGTCTCCGCGGCCAAATGTCTTAACTGAATGAGCTATACGTTCATTCAACTAAGTGAATAGTATTATTTATTTATTATATAATTAAGAAACTATATAAAACAGAATTTACAGAAAATGATACGTATGCAAATAGGATTCTATATATCAGGAAAATGTATAGTGATGTGAACCTTTAGTTGCTTATAATTAATATCTGGACTCGAAAACTAGTTACTTTTAATGGAACACAATAGGCTATAGGAGCCTCAGGGAAATTATATTCAGAAATGATTATATTAGACTCAGAGTTAGCTAGAAATTATTACAAAGTGCTTAGGACAGATATCTAGTACAAAAAGCACAAGATTTAAAGCAAAATGATTTATATTATTTGAAAAAATTGTTTTACGTACATTTCATCATAATTTAAGTAGAACTTATTAAAGCAAGGGAAATGTGTAGAATTAAGCACAATGAACTCAATCTTAAAAGAATAACTAACAGAAGAGAGGTTGTCACTATTATGAAGGTGACGAAAGATCTGTAATATAGAACATGGAGGTCAAAAAATGCTATCTTAAGTAAAAAGAGTTTGATGAACAAAAGTTACAATGGCTGCGGGATGCGAACCCGGATCTCTGCGGCAAATTATCACGTATCTAACTGATTGAACTATAAGATCTTATACTTAAATTTATATCTTATTAAAATTGAAAAACAATATTTTCTAAGATCTATACTTCGAAAAGCGTATTCAAACAGGACTCTACATACCTTTAAAATCTGCTAGAACTTTAGTAACGTGCACACTTTTAGAAAATATTGAAATAGGTTTATTTTATCAGAAATATGCTTAAGCTAAAGCATATTTTTGAGCCTCTTTTTACTATTTGCTTAAGCATATTCGAACCTGTTTCAAAAATTTCATATGCTTTAAAAAAAAAAACATGTATATTTCTACCCATCATTCTTATTTTTAATATACGTAATGAATTCAAAAAACATCGTTATATATATTTATTATGGCACGTTTCGTAAGTTTATTTCCGTTAAGAATTCTTTCGTATGTTGTGATCCGAAATACTTTCGTTTCGAAAGAAATTTTATTTTTTATCAATATTTCTAAAAATAAAACCATAAAAATTTAATAGTTTTTATACTGAAAATAAATATTCATTATAAATTTTGGGATTTAAAGATGTTAATTTTTACAATTAAAATCAGTCTGGCAAACAAATTTTCTTTATAGACTTCAAAACGTCGTTTGGCGAAAATGTTTGTTTCGCAAGTGAGACTTCCGAAACCGCTACTTTCGTATGTTGCAAAATAGTTTTGCTTCGTATGTCAACTTGCGAAATGCTAAATTTCGGAAGTGGCTTTTGCGAAATGAACATCGGCGATTTTAAATGTTTTGTAACATTCGGTACGAAAAAATGTAATTCCGTGTTCTCAATCTCCTTACGAAAGAATGTTGTTTTTCCGGAATTGCACGAAATCCTCCGGTTAACAACCCTAGTTTGTATATTTTTGCCCGTTTTATACAGCTAATATTTAACCAAAATACGGACAAATTATTATTAAATAACGCAATAATTAACACATTAATTAAAGGCAATAATTCAAGATAGATGGTAATTTAAATTGTTAAAATGTCATAACGCGCATTAAAAAACATATTATATTTGGTATTTCCAAATTTGTGTCGTAATTGGCATTTGTCTCTTAACATGAAAAATTAAAAATTTTTAAAAACACAATTAACAAATACAAATTTTCAAGCAATTTTCTCCTCCAATTCTCATTTATTCAAAGAAAATTAAACTATTAAACTTTTATTTCTCTCATCTAAAAAAAGAACGAGTGACGCAAAAAATATATATATTCTTTACAACTCTTATTCATTTATTCATTTCTTTCTCTTTTGTTCTACTCTTTTATAAAAAGAGCGCCCAATGAAATAAAAATTTTTATTTTTAATATATAATTATAGTTTGAGATAAAATTAAATTAGAAATAAATCAACAAGGAGCAAAGTAACGAACAGATTAATCTGGAACTATTTTGATATTTATGAAAATAATCAACATAAACAACATTACCAACAACAGTTATCAAATAAACAACACAATCTCGCATAATTTTAGAGGCAATTTATTTTTATTGCTTAGTCGTTCTAAATAATAAGTAAATTTAGTTCACGTTAATAATTCAATATTTACAGTTACAATATAATAAAGAAATGGTGTTTAATACTGAACTTTTTATTTAGTTATTTATTTTTTTAACTACATTTGTTATAAAAACTTTTAGAACCCCCGTCATTAAAATAATTTGTTTTAAATATATTTCGACGTGATTATTCAAACTAATTTTTTTCGTTTGACTTTCTGAACTTCATGCAAAGCAAATTGAAACGAAATATCGTCTAACCAAATAA